CCTGGCCTGTAGTAAGAAATCAAAACATTCTTGTTTCTGTCCTGGAGCGAGCCACCAGTGAACATAGCTGTGGGGCTGGGGTTCAGGTGCTTTGGGTTCCGCTCAGCTCCGATGCCCAGCTAAGGGGATGCAGCGTCACGGTTCAGCCATCTCTCCACCCCACCAGGCAGCGTAAAGCAACTGCTATATGCAGGGCCTGTCCTAGAAGCTCTGGGTGGCACAAGTGTCCCATCTGGGTCGGGGAGAGCCAGTGCTGCAAGAAGAGAGAGGGGAGCTGGCCAGGTCTGGCCGAGGGAGGTTGCAGGGATGTGCTTCCCAGGTGGGGCTGGGGCTGGGGCAATCAAGGCATTTCCTGGAGGTGGTGGCATCTGAGCTTGACGATGGGTGGGGACTTTGGAGTCTGGGAGGGAGAATGAGGGGAATGAACAGAAACCCAGAGGCTTAAAGCAAGAATAGACCTGTCTGGCTGGTGGGAGGCAGGAGAGGGGAAGGTGGGGTGGGGAAGGCTCCGTGGGGCCTGTGGTGGCTGGTCCTACCCTGACCTGCTCCTTGGGGAAGGCAGTGACACCCTGGGGGGATCAGAAGGCCACCCCGTGGGAAGAAGGCACTGAGCCCAGTGGGGAAGGGGCAGGCAGGAGGGTGGCTGGAGCCTGTCTCCGCATCTGTGAGCTGTGCCTCTGTGTTGCTGTCTCTTGGAGAGTGTGTTCGTTACCAGGGCCATGTGTGAGCTCCTGTCCCCAAGGCTGTGTTATGTCAGTGGGGTGGGGGTGGGGAGAGGCGTTGCTACGCAGGGTCTGGCTGCTCTTGGGTCTGCGTGGGTGTGCAGCATTCCTGGTGTGCGGAGGGGTGGGCTTCTCCCCACAACCAACCTGAGGACCTCCACCCTCACCCCTCCCACACGCATGTGCACACACCCTCAGGGGACCCTGGGCCTGCCTGCTCCTGCTGCTCCCCTTCCTCCTCCTCCAGCCCCCAGGAAGGGCCCAGCTAGGTGGCTGGGAAGGGGAACAGGAGTTGAATCTGGAGCCCTCACCCCTGCCTTTAGCGAAGGTGCCTGGAAGCCATTAGGGGCCTGGGTGGCGCCTGCCCTGCCTCTGCGAAACAGTCTGGGGATTCCTGGAAGGAGCCAGCGGCCCTCTCCCGGCCAAGCCCTGTGCCAGGCCTGGCAGCTCCCAGAGGCAGAGAGGATGTGGCGGTGGTCCCCTCCCTGCCCTGCCATGCTCCTAGTTTAGGGGCTGCAGGAAGGGCCCAGCAGACAGGGGCCAGGCTCTGGTGGGGCTGCTGGCTGGCACTGGGGTTTCCTGCCTCCTCCTCCTCTTCTTCCTCCTTGTCCTCCCCCTCCTCCTCCCCCTCCCCCACAGGCGCCACATTGTTTTTCTTTTCCAAGAGCTTCTCCATGTGGAGCTGAGCCGGGAAAATGAGCAGTGTGAGTGTCTGTGTCTGTGTGTGTGTGTGTGTGTGTGTGTGTGTGTGTGTGTGTGTGTGTGTGTGTGTGTGTCCGCTTCCCTTAGGGATGAGTATGTATCTTTGTGCCTTGTCGATGTTCTGGCATGTGCGTGTCTTCAGGTGTGTCTGTGTCTACACGTCTCTCTGCATCTGTGTAGTCGCTTGTGTGTATGGGTCCATCTCTGAGTGTATGTGTGTCTCGTGTGTCCACCCATGTGACTTTGCATCCATGCTCATGTGCATGGGATCGTGTGCGTTGCTGATGTGTCTGTATGTGCACAGATGTCTGTGAACACCCATGTCATCAAGGCCAGCCACCCCACTGCCCAGGCAGAGAGACTGAGTCACAGAGAGGGCACAGCCTGCTGGGGATCTCTCAGGGTGTGGGTGGCATGCAGGGAACCGGAGCCTGGATCTGTAGAGCCTGGGCGGATGACTTTGTGCAGGTGTTAGTGAAGTTGGGATGTACGCGTCTGTTTATGCAACTGCGCGGTTGGTAAGAAGGTATAACTGAATGCACAAATGTCCCAAACCATTAAAATGTAAATTCCCAGCCCCACACCTCCTGAACTTGACTCTCTGGGGGGTGGGGCCTAGGAACTGCATTTTAAGCAAATGTCTAGGATGTCCTGATTAAGAAGCACCGGTCTTCCTCACCCTACCCCTATTCTACAGGTGAGGAAACTGAGGCCCAGAAAGGGACAGTGGCTTACATGAGGTTGGCAACAGAGCTGGGGCTAGAGCGCATGTCTGCAGAAAGCAGACAAGACAGTAAACAAACAGCAGTGGACTAGAGAAATGTAGTTAGATTGCCGAGCAGCGTCGGGGAACCATGACACTGAAGGTCATGAATTTCAGATGACACCGGTCCACGTGCTGGTGCAAGACCTGTGATGCCTGGCTCCACGGGTGACCGCAAGAGCAGGCAGAGCAGCGGGGACAACCGGGCTTGGCATTTGCCTGGAGAGGCAAGAACAGGAGGGGGTGGGGGCACTGAGGGTGTTTGCAAAGCACAGATCAGGAGCACGGAATGTGAGCTGGGTAAAGAAGAAGGAAGTGTATGGGGGTGGTGCAGACAGTGAACAGGTGGTGGCATCAGTGGATTGTGGCTCCTGCTGGGACTGACACTTGGAGTCGGACTCTGTCTTAGTCTGGTTTTGTGTTGCTATAAAAGAATACTTGAGGCTGAGTAATTTATAAAGAAAAGAGGTTTATTTGGTTTACGGTTCTGCAGGCTATATAAGCAGCATGGTGCAAGCTCTGCTTCTGGCAAGGGCTTCAGAAGCTTCCACTCGTGGCGGAAGGCGAAGGGGAACGGGCGAATCACCTGGCGAGGAAGGGAGCAGGAGAGAGAGGAGGAGGGGCTCCATGTTGCCCTTTTCAACAGGCAGTTCTCCAGTTGTACCAACCCATCCTGAGAGATCCTGCCGGTGACCCAAACCCCTCCCACCATGCCCGCCTCCAACACTGGGGATCAGATTTCAACATGAGCTTTGGAGGAGACAAATAACCAAACTCTATCAGAGCCCTAGAAGGACTGAGTTTGGAATTGACGCTAGGGAGGAGTCACAGCTATTGGTAATGACCAAGGGCGTGGCCACCAGCATGGTCAAGTTTGCATTTTGAAAAACAAAGTCTGGCTGCTGCTGTTGAGACTGGATTTGAAGAAGGCAGAAGTGTGTGTGTGATGGGGCGGGGGTCGTAGTGGCTACAGTTGCCCAGGTGGGTGAGATGGTGTGGGGCTTGACAGGTTAGTGGCTGTGGATGAAGAGGGTGGAGGGGCCCTAGTGACGTACGGAACACAGACTGACAGGATCTGGTGGCGGGTGGGGGAAGGGGAAAGGCAGATTCTAGGATGTCTCTAGGAGCTGAAGGAATGAGGAAGACAGTGAGTTCCATTTTGACCAAGATGGGGCTGAGGTGTCCGTAGGACATCCCGGTGGAGGTGTGGGAGGCTCTGGGGGCAGCCTGGGCTGGAGAGAGAGACTTGGGGTTGTTGAGGACATGGCGAGATGGCTGGGGCAGGGGAAGCATGAGGGGCCCAGGACCCTATGACAGCAGCACTCAAGGGATGAGCCCGGGAGCAGCCAGAGGGGGAGGAGGGAAGCCCGGAGTGTGGCATCCGGGAGTGATGCAAGGAAGCAGCGACAGCATGTCCAGAGCTAGAGAGGACACATCATCGCAGTGGGGCCAGAAGCCAGCCTGGCCTGGGTGGCCCAATGAGAGAGGACCAGGGAGGTGGTCTGAGCGGAGACAGCAAGTGTGGACCATTCTGGATGTGCCTTGAAAGGGAGGAGAGAGGGCAGGGGAGAGGAGGGTCCCTGGAGAGACACAGGACCCTACAGAGAACATCACTCTGTGGACCAGGGCTCAGCCTAATGGGGAAAGAAAGGTGTGATGTCGCAAGAGGCTGCTGCTGGTGGTCAGCCTGAGGCCACACTGGAGGGAGAGTGGGGCAGGCTGAGGACAGAGAGGGACATGCATCTCATTTATTTTAAGGGGGGTGTGGCCCATGAATGGCTGGGCGTTGGCGAGGCTTAGGTGAGACAGGAAAGAGGGAGAGATGTTTGCAGTGAGTGAGGGCATCTGCGGGGGCGGGTGGGGGGTTCCTGGCAGAGAGGCGCAGGGAACATCATATTGCACCCACACCCCCACCATCTAAGAGACTAGTTTATTTCCACCACTGTCACCGGTGCATGCATTTATTCAACAAATCCTCCACCCGTGTTTGGACTGGGACTCATATTGTAAATGGCGACAGTAATTTCCCTCACCTCAAGTCCGGGAGGAGTAAGCGAGGTCATTCGCATGAAACCCTGGGCACGGTGCCTGGCCTGTAGTTGGCCCTCTGCAAATGTCACTGGCATTGTCATTATGTGCTGGGATGAAAACTGGCCAGGACCTAGCCCCTGCCCTCAGCACACTCACAGGCTGGAAGGGGGTGGGGAGCAGACACAGATAAATGGCCCAGCAAGGTTGGCTAGTGTAGTGATGGAGAGGCAGACTGGGGGCCGGGGTGGGGGTGATGGGCCTGGCCTGAGGTGGTCCCAGAGGCCTTCTAGGAGGAGGCGGTCTCTCAGTTGAGTTTGAAGGACGAGAAGAGTCAGCTCACTTCCAGAAGAGGCAGGGAGGGGACTCCTGGCAGCAGACTGGTGCTCCCACGGCGGTCCGCGTGGAGGTGGGATAGTAAAAGCCATTCAGTGTGTGCGATGGGGCCGTGAAGGTCAAGGGTAACAAATCATGGTGTCAGATGTGCCGCTGCTGCTGCGGGATGAAGGGATGGAGCCCGCAGTCTGCAGACGGGCGAGAAGGCCGATCCGGCTCCTGTTCCCTGTGCCCAGCCACCGCACGGCTGATCTCATGGACTGAGGGTGGTGACGGCCTAATAACGCCTGTGTTCTCCTGCAGGTCCGAAGAGGCGCCTCAGCCTGGCAGCCCGGAGAGAAGGGGTTCCCGGCGCCGTCATGCACAGCGGTATCGCGAGCGCCGCGCGTCCCCCACGCCTTCCCTGAGCCGGGCCTCGAGTTGGAGCCCAGGACGCGCCCGGCCGCGCCATGAGCCACGGCCCGAGTCCCCGGCTGGCCGAGTCCCCGCAGCTGTCCAAGGGCAGCCTCCTGACCATCCTGGGGAGCCCGTCGCCGGAGCGCATGGGCCCGGCCGACTCGCTGCCGCCCACGCCGCCCAGCGGCACGCCCTCGCCCGGGCCGCCGCCCGCGCTGCCCTTGCCGCCCCCGCCCGCGCTCCTGGCGGACGGCGACTGGGAGAGCCGCGAGGAGCTGCGGCTGCGGGAGCTGGAGGAGGCGCGGGCGCGGGCGGCGCAGATGGAGAAGACCATGCGCTGGTGGTCGGACTGCACGGCCAACTGGCGCGAGAAGTGGAGCAAGGTGCGCGCCGAGCGCAACCGCGCGCGCGAGGAGGTGCGCCAGCTGCGCCAGCGCCTGGACGCGCTCACCAAGGAGCTGGCGGGCGCGCGGCGCGAGCGCCAGGAGGCGCAGGGCGAGTGCGAGGCGCGGGGCCGCGAGCTGGCGCGGCTGCGGGGCGCCCGCGGGGCCGCGGACCAGACGCGCGACGGCCCCGAGCCGGAGCAGGAGCACGAGCCGGTGCGCGACGTCGGGTCGGAGCGGCCGCCGGGCAGCCAGGTGCGCGGCGGGGCGGGGCCTGCGCGCTCGCGTCGCGAAGTGGGCGGGGCTGATCGGCCTGGGCCCGAGCTGTGGCTGCGGGGCTGGGAGCCAGGCAGGGCCTACCCCCGGGGGCTTTCGCTCCTCCAGGTCAGGCTCCGCCCCCTGCAGTGCCGCAGACCATCTCCCTTCCGGAGACCCTAAGAAGGGTCCTGAGCAGAGAATCCCAGGTTCTAGTGGTCCCTCCACTCCCACACCTGAGAAGTCAACAGAAGCAAGGAACCGTCTCTTTGATCAGCAAGGGGATCCAGAAACTTGCCGGAAGTTAGCCCAATTAGTAACAGCTGAACCCATTCATTCGTTCGACTTGAATTTGCGGGGAGGCATACAGTTATAACCCAGATGAGTCACAGCTGAGGCGTGGATCCTTATCGGGGCACCACCCCAGTCCATATAGGGAAACCGAGGGCCAGACTGGCAAGGGGCTGGCCCAGACACATCTGGAGAGGCTGTGGGAGAAACTAGAACAGGGGCCACAGTCCTCATGGGTTTGTGTCAGGGACAGGTCTTGGGGACAGGCAGGGGCAGACCAGAGGGTCAGAAGGGAGGGGGAGGCTGGCAGGAAGGAAGGAGGCTCGGCACTGGGTTAATAATCCCCCACTGCTTCCTCCCTGGGAGCTGGTTCTACTCCCGGGTGCTGCTTTACCATGTCACCAGTCTCCCCGTGCTTTAGTATTCGCCCCTGAAAAATAGAGTTAGAATTCCTTTTGAGGGAATCTAGTCCTAAGCCATCATAGGAAACCCTGCTTCAACATTCCCACCAGTGTCCCATTATGTCTTTGTATACTGCCACTGACAGGGAGCTCACCACCTCTCCTGGGGAGTCTTCCAGGATACAGGGGACCTTGATGGTTGCCTCTGTGCAGTTCCAGGAGGTGAAAGGGGAGGCCCAGAGCAGGGCACGTCCTCCCTCTCCGGAGATGGAGAGGCAGGCAGCAGAAGAGGCAGCTAGGGCCCAGAGACATTGTTTGACTTGACGAGGGTTACCCAGCAAGCTGATCCCAGACCCAGGGCCTGGGAGAGGCCATCAGGAAGGTCACCAGTCCAGCCTCCCCCTTGGTCCCCGCAGGAGCTGGAGCTGGTGGAGAGCCTTCTGAAGAGCAGACCGGAGGAGCCCGAGGGCTGCTGGGAGGCACACAGTGTCGGGGCTGGGGGCTCAAGGAGCAGCTCGGGCCGCCAGGAGCGCAGCCGGCTGCTCTGGGAGGACACAGCCACCACTGAGGAGGAGGCCTCCAAGTTGACTGCCCTGCGGCTGCGGCTGGATGAGTCCCAGAAGGTGCTGCTCAAGGAGCGAGAGTGAGTCCCGGCAGGCGGGCAGGGGCCCGGGGTTGGGCCAGGCCACACTGGGACACCCTCAGCATCCCAGAGTGAAAATCAGTGTCACGGAGTATGAGACTCTCGAAGGTGGCAGGTAGTATTTAGGCTCAAGTCTTGGAACTTTAGAGCAGTGGTGTTCCACCCAAGGACCCAATGCAAGTTTTTATTTATTCATTCAAATAATGCATGGTGAGCACCTGCTCTGGGCCAGGCACTGTCCTCAGCTCTGAGGATACAGCCATAAATAAGACAGAAGCCCCTGCCTTCCTGGAGCTTGTGTTCTAGTGGGGGTGAGGGCCATGGGTGGGGTGAAAGCAAGGAAGGGGGACAGGGAAGTTGGGAGTTGCAGCTGGGAGTCTGGTTTTGGAAGTGTGCAGCTGGAGGTGGCAGGGCGCAGTCAGGGCCACGAGTGAGTCTGGAGTGATGAAACAGTCTGGGCCGGAGTCAGCAAGTGGATGGGATGGAAAGCCCTGGGCCAGCGCGGAGGAGCAGGGGTGGATGGGAAGCGGCCAGAGGACGGAGCCGAGAGCGCCAGGCTCAGAGGTTGGTGAGAGGAAGGGGAGCGCAAAGGAGATGGGAGAAGGGGGCCAGCACGGTGCAGGGGCAGGGAACCAGGAGACACAGTCTCACGGAGGACAGAGTGATCTGCTGGTCAGTAAGAAGAGGACAGGAGCACTGACCATTGGATTTAGAACATGGAGGTCACCAGTGACCTTGATCAGGGCAGTTTAGAGGCTACAAGCCTGATTATCATGAACATCGTGCAACTTTTCTGTCCAGAAATTCAATACATAGGTAGTATAACCTATCTACCCATGTGATTTTTTTAATTTAAATCAAATCAAGGCCGGGCGCGGTGGCTCACGCCTGTAATCCTAGCACTCTGGGAGGCCGAGGCGGGCGGATCGTTCTGAGCTCAGGAGTTCGAGACCAGCCTGAGCAAGAGCGAGACCCCGTCTCTACCAAAAAATGGAAAGAAATTAATTGGACAGCTAAAAATATATGTAGAAAAAATTAGCCGGGCATGGTGGCGCGTGCCTGTGGTCCCAGCTACTCGGGAGGCTGAGACAGTAGGATCGCTTGAGCCCAGGAGTTTGAGGTTGCTGTGAGCTAGGCTGACGCCACGGCACTCGCCCCAGGCAAGAGAGTGAGACTCTGTCTCAAAAAAAAAACAAAACTAAAAATAAATAAATAAATCAAATCAACACATGGTTGATTTTTTTTTTTTAAATCAACATCATGCCCTTGTGAAGATGCAGGCAGAGGTCAGGGTGATGCTTCCACAGGCATCATTGCTTGTTTGGCCAAGGAGTGCCAAAGATGGCCAGCAAACCGCCAGAGACCAGGGGAGAGGCCTGGAACAGACTCTCTCTCGCAGCGAACCATCTCTGCTGACACCTTGATCTTGGACTTCCGGCCTCCAGAGCTGTGAGAGAACAAATCTCTGCCGTTTAAGCCAAACAAACAAAAAATCGACCCGAAGCACTAACTGAAATCTAAAACAGGAATGGAAGCAATTTATAATAAATGTGCACACAGTGATATGGAAGCGTTCGGGTGTAGCTCCTCTAGGGGAAACAATGAGGCCGTGAGAAGCAGGTGCCTTCGTACGGAGTGGCAGGGATGGTGACCGTGACTGCAGACACACACACGGCCCGCGCGCCGAGTCAGGCTCCGTGCTCAGGGCTCAGGTGTGTTCGCTCGTTGAAGTCGCCCTGCAGGACGGCTGTGAAGGCAGCTCGTGCAGGTGTGTGGGGCTGGCACCTCAAATACGCAAGTAGTGCCACTGTGGCGATGCACTTTCCGGAGAGATGAACAGCCTTTGGTAAAGTTCTGAACAAAGAAAAGTGTAGTCTTCCGCCGATTTATTCCATTGCTGGAAAATTCAGTGTTACGTTAGTGGACAAAAATACTTTCTGTTTCTATGTAAATCAGAATGAGGGTCTAGGCTCAGATCATCTCCACCCCAGCAATGTCAGGGGGACAGGCGTGCATTAAATACGGTGCAGGATACGTCCCCGATGGGCAGGATGCCGTGGGCGTCGCAGGGAGTCAGGCGCAGCTGACCCCTAATGGTTGTGATGGCTAAAAAACGTCCCCAGGACTCTCCAACATACCTCCTAGAGCATGGCATTGCCCCCTCTGAGAACCGCTCGCTGGCGATGTGAGGTCATGAAGCACAGCGTGCTGGAGGGTAATGCTAAGCTCAGCCATCATTGAGCACCTACTGTATACTGCGGCCAGTCACCATGCTTGTTACCTGTGGTGCCTCATTCATGTTCAAGGCAGAGTACAGGGTGGTCAAGGGAGAACGTGGGGATCCCACACAGTGATGATGGCAAGAGGGGACCCTCCCTCCGAGAGTCACCGTCAGTGTTTTCCAGCTTTCCTAACTGCAGAACCACGTGTTCAAGCCTTACAGGGAACCCCGGGGTGTAAAGCAGATAGGAACAGGGTGGCCTTTGGCAGATGAGCCTAGGGTCCAGCGGGAGGGAGGCACTTGCCCGGAGATGCCCAGTGCTCCAGAGCCCTGGTCACCTCCCGACACTGTGAGCTGGGTCCCTGCACATGGGTTGGGGGTGCAGCTCCAGGAGAAATGCAAAACTGGGGTGCTTGTCACAGCATGGGGTACCAGGGCCCTGAACACTGAGGTAGGGACTTTGGACGGGTGCAGAGAGCACAGCAGGGCCACTCGGGGACTCCAAGCAGAGGGCCCCAGTGGCTCACCCCCATGTCTGTCCCTCCCTGTCTCCTGCCCAGGGATAAACTGGCCCTGAGCAGGAACATCGAGAAGCTGGAGGGGGAGCTCAGCCAGTGGAAGATCAAGTACGAGGAGCTGAGCAAGACCAAGCAGGAGATGCTGAAGCAGGTGAGTCTTGGAGACCCGGGGGGCTTCCTGGAGGCGGCAGTACCACACTGTTGAGTTTCAGCAGTGGGGATGGGAGAGAGAAAAATGGAATTCATTCATTCTTTAATTCGTTCATTCATTCATTCAACAATTGTCCTGAGTGCCAGGCAGGCCGGGCCCCTGCCTTCAGGAGCCCACCTTGTCGGGGCCATGGGCAGAGAAGACCGACTGTGACCAGGCAGATAAATTCATGAGTCACGAAGGAGTCAAAACAGAATGAGAGAAATGGGGCGGTGGGACAGGGAAGGCCTCTCTAAGAAGGTGACATTTGAGGCAAAACTGAAAGGGGCTAGCAGAAGCATCGTTGAGAAGATCCTGGAACAGGGGTCTGGCAGAAGGCACAGCAAATGCAAAGGTCCTGAGGCAGCAACAAGCCCAGTGTGTGCAGGAGACAGAGCAGGCCACTGCGGCTGGACAGCAGTAGGAGGTGAGGCCGCAAGAGGGCCCGGGTAGACCAGGATGAAGGGAGAAGTCTGGATGTGGCATTCATTGGGTGACTAGCGTGTCCCAGGTGTCACTGAAGCCCCGCAGCAGTCGAGGGAGCTGGGTCCTCACGTCCCCATCTTACAGATGAGGAAACTGAGGCTCCAGAGAGGGGAGTCCACCACTGCAGTGTTGCTCAAGCAGGCTGGGCTGCACTGTTGCCTCCTGTGCAGGCCTCAGTGGCCACCAGAGGGCGCAGCCGCCCAGGGAAAGCCGAGCTGGATCCGCTGGGTTTCCAGAAGGTGGGAGATCGCAGACCTCAGAGCCTGAAACTCTGTCCTGGAAGGGCCCAAGATGGTCTTACATTAGAATCTCTTAGGAAATGTCCTAAAATACAGATTCCCAGACCCCACCTGCACCCTCCTGAATTCGCATCTTTGGGAACTGAGTCCGGGAATCTGTGTTTGTTAATCTTTTCAAATTGCAAAGTTCACGTGATCATTGGAAGAAAAGTATAATCATTTGACAAAAGCACAAAAGTGCGGTGTAGTAGAAAATCATCACGGTTCTCTTTTGTATCTGGCAGGTTTCCCTCAGCATTATGTATGGAACACTCACCCGCGTGCTTGCGTGGCGCAGCAGTTTGCTGGGTTTTGCTGCCATGCGGCAGGGAATCGCATTGTTTTAGAGGCACCCCAAGCAGTTCTGACGCACCTGCGGGCAGACCAGTTTTAGGTCAGTCAGTGTATGTTGAGGGCTGCCCTGTGCCAAGGCCACACAGGGATACAAAAGTGGACAGGCGACATGTTCTCTGTCCTCCCTGGCTTGCTTTGTAGCGGGGAGTGGGATGAGGAGACCTCTCCTCTAGGCCAGGCGGACAGGGGAGGCCGCCCTAAGGACAGAGCATTTAGGCCAAAGCCTGACAATAAGAAAAGTCAGTCCCGCAGAACACCTCAGAAAATGTTCCAGGGCCGGGTGCGGTGATTCACGCCTGTAATCCCAGCACTCTGAGAGGGCGAGGCAGGAGAATCACTTGAGGCCAGGAGTTCGAGACCAGCCTAGGCAACATAGTGAGACCCCATCTCTAAAAAAAAAAAAAAATAGAAAAATTAACTGGGCATGGTGGTGTGCACCGGTAGTCCCAGGTACTCGGGAGGCTGGGACAAGATCACTTGAGCCCAGGAGTTTGAGGCTGCAGTGAGCTATGATGATGCCAGTGGCCAGTGTACTCTTGCCTAGGTGACAGAGTGAGACCCTATCTCAAAAAAAAAAAAAAAAGTATGTTCCAGGCAGAGGGAACTGAGCTGGAATGGCATGTGCAAAGGCCCTGTGGTGGTCAGGAACTTGGTGTATTTGAGGAGTAGGAAGGAGTCCGCTGTGGCTGAAGCACAGTGAACTCAAGGGAGAGGTGGGAGATGAGGTTGAGGAGAGGGGGGCAGGGTCCAATTGCGCAGGGTGTTGTGAGACCACAGAGAGGAGTTGGGCTTTATCCTAAGGCACCTGGGAGCCATCAGAGGGGATTTTGGGGAGGGCGGTGTGTATGTTCAAATTTATCTTTTCTAAAAGCCCACCGAGGGCCACTGTTGGGGACGATGAGTTGACGGGGGCTGGGAGCAGGCACTGGCAGCCCAGCTTGGATGGGGCAGGAGGTGAGAGTCATTGGAAGGGGTGGGGTGGTCCGGTTCAGGGTCTGTTCTGAATACTTCGTGCCACCCCATGTGGGCGCTGCCCAGGCTCCCCGCTGAGGACTCCTGCACCCACTCCTCCACAGCTGGTTCTGGATGTGTCCTGGCAGTTCTCATGTAACCAGCCGGGCTGTGTCTTGCAGCTCAGCATCCTGAAGGAGGCACACCAGGACGAGCTGGGCCGCATGTCTGAAGACTTGGAGGACGAGCTGGGTGCACGCTCCAGCATGGACAGGAAGATGGCCGAGCTGAGGGGCGAGGTGGGACAGCCGACAGGACCCGCGAGGGCCTGGGCCTTGGGAGTCCCGGGGCCCCGCCTCCTTCAGCAGGTCGCTGGGAGAAGGGCAGGAACCAGCCCGTGCTCTGAGGGGGGCCAGCCTCATCCCAAGGATGCCCCAGTCTGCGGGAGGGGGGCCCCTCTGCCTCACAGAGACCAGAAGCGCCCTCACATCCTGCACACCGTGAAATAAGCCCAGCTTAATTATAGCTGCTGCAGCTGGGTCTGCTTCCTGGAGCCAAAAATGGCTACAGCGGTGGCGGGGCCTCCAGCCCGGGCCCTCCGTGCTCCCCCTCCTCCCTGGGAGTCCTCACTCTGCCCTGCCCCGTTGCAGATGGAGCGGCTGCAGGCAGAGAACGCAGCCGAGTGGGGCCGCCGGGAGCGGCTGGAGACAGAGAAGCTGGGCCTGGAGCGGGAGAACAAGAAGCTGCGGGCACAGGTCGGGGATCTGGAGGAGGCGCTGGCCAGGCGGCGGCGGCAGACAGCCAGTGCGCTGGACTGCGACCTGCGGGCCAGCCAGGCCGCGCTCTTCGAGAAGAACAAGGTGGGGCAGTGAGCGGAGTGGCCAGTGTTGGGGCGGCCACCTCCCCACCAGCCAGAGCACAGCACCTACTGTGTGCCAGGCCTGTTGACAATCATAGTAGCCACATTTAGTGAGCACCCACTGTGTGCCAGACCGGTTGGTAATTATAGTAGCTGCATGTATTGAGCATCTACTATGTGCCAGACCCCATTCTAGATCTGTGAACAGATAGATGTGGCCTCCCCCCAGTGGGGCTGATGGCTCGCTCAGGGGCATGCACGCAGGACTCTGTATGTCACACAGACCTGTACCGATCACACAGCTCCGTGGTGGCCAGCAGGAAGAGGAGATACCAGGGGACCTGGCTTAGGCCCAGGGTCCTGGAAAGGATTCCAGGAGACAGTGACCTTTGAGCTGAGGTTTCCAGGAAAAGCAGATGTTAATTGGCGGTGAATGCATTTGGGAAGAGGATAGAGTTTGGGAATAGCATGAATAATGTCCATGGTAAGAGGAACAAGGAGGCCAGTGTGGCTGGAGGGAACTGAGCGAGGGGAACATGGTAGAGGAGGCAGGAGCCGTGGGCCACCCCAGAAGAGTTCAAAGCAGGAGGGGGAGTGAGCAGGTTGCCGTGAGCCCAGCACTTACTGGGCTGCTGTGTGGATGGAGGATGGAGAGGGAGGCCAGGGGAGGCTGTTCCCTGGGCAACAAGAGGTGATGGAGACCTAGACCAGGCTGCAGTTGGTGGAAATGGAGCAAAGAGGATGGATTCAGGAGACCTTTAGGTGGTGCATACCCCCATTTTACACATGTGAAAACTGAGGCTCAGAGAACTTGCAGAGCTCAGGGATGGGAATCTCCTTTGCTGGCCACTCATCCTCTTCCCAGCCACTCTGGCCTCTGATTTCTCTTCTGCTGAGACCCGCTCCCCAGTTCTGTTCATCCCCAGACCCCAAGCCTCTAAATGCCATGTATGTAGCACGAAAGATTCCAGACCCCATCCCTCCCCGAACCCCTGACCTCAGCTCCACCAGCCCACTGGACATCCCCGGGGCATACCCAGTAAGGATCCCAAAGTTACACATCCGAACTGGAACCGCCGGTTCTACCCACCCAGCCCTCTCTCCTCGCTAGGGGGCCCCTCCAGCCTCCAGCCTCCAGCCCAGCCTCTAATGCTGCTGTTTCAGACAGCAGGTGCACAGAGTCAGGGAAGAAGAGACACCAGCATCCCTCGAACTGCCTGGCCCCGTGGGACTCCCTGGCATGGTGCCCAGACTGGCGCTGAGCCCCTCCCACCCATCTGCGCCCTGCAGGAGCTGGCCGACCTGAAGCACGTGCATGGCAAGCTGAAGAAGCAGTTCCAGGAGAAGGTGGCAGAGTTGGCACACGCCAACCGGCGCGTGGAGCAGCACGAGGCAGAGGTGAAGAAGCTGCGGCTGCGCGTGGAGGAGCTCAAGAAGGAGCTGGCCCAGGCCGAGGACGAGGTGAGGGCACAGGGGCCCCAGGTGGCCACGGGCCTCGCGCCGGGAGGAGTGGGGGGCTGCAAGCCCTCCTGGGTTACTCTGTGCTGGGTCCCCAGTGCCTGGCATGAGCCTGGGTCTCAGGGGGTGCTCAGGGTAGCACAGGCAGGTGGACGACAGATGGATGGCAGGATAGACGCGCGGGCAGGAGGAGTGGAAGAAAAATGGTGGGCAAGGTAGATACGTGGAGAATGGATTGATGGAGGGGTGTGTGGGCGCGTGTGTCGATGGTTGCGGGAAAGAACGGGACGGAAGGAGGTTTCCGTGGATGGAGGAGCAGACGGATGAAGGAATGGGCGGACGGGTGGGTGGATGGGTGGGTGATGGACGTGTGAACAGATGGCTGGCTGGATGGGTACACAGTGGACCGGTGGATGGACCACCGTCAGCGGGTGAAGAGGGAATGGGCAGAGGGAACCAAGGCCGACTGATGGGGGGCTAGGTGGGCCTGGGACAGCAGGAAGGTGGGGGGAGGCTGGATGGGCTCTGGGTAGATTGCTGAACGGCGCGCGGGTGGTTTGGTGTCTCCATGGGCAGATGATGTCTCCAAGGACGAGTGGTCAGATGACAGACTGATGAGGATGGATGGGCAGGCGGGTGGCTGGCTGCGTCAGTAGTGCAGGGCACTGCAGGATGGGTAGATTGGAAGAGGGGACAGCAGAGATGGAGAGGAACAGAAGGGATGCATCCCCAGCGGAGGTGAGCCTCGGTCTGGGCCTCAAGGAGCAGACGCTGTCGGAAAAGCACATTCCCGGAGAGGGACGGTAGGAGTGACTGGCCCTGGGTGGTGGCAGGCCAGGCTGCCCAGCCCAAGGTGACCCTCACGCCCTTGGCCCTGCTCGCCCGCAGCTGGACGAGGCCCACAACCAGGCGCGCAAGCTGCAGCGGTCGCTGGACGAGCAGACGGAGCAGAGCGAGAACCTGCAGGTCCAGCTGGAGCACCTGCAGTCCAGGTGGGCCCCGGGGCTGCCAGGATTCGTGGGGCGGGGGCAGCAACAGCGCAGGGAGACTTCCAGCCGAGGGAGACCTCCAGTCGGGCCGGAGCCCTAAACTAGGACGAAATGGGAAGACAGATAAGGAAGAGATCGGGGAGCCCTGGGGCCAGAATCCTATCCCCTCCAGGCAGGAAGGGCCAGAGCCAGGAAACCAGGGAAGGGGGGTGCAGGAAGTCAGGCCATGTGGGGTCCCTGGAATTGTCTCTTTTAGCAGGGGGGCTGGTGGGCGGTGGGAGGGCAGGAAGGGCGGCAGAGAGGGCAGGCCCAAGCGGTGGGGCAGTGGGTAGGGCCAGCGGGACTGGGGGGGTCCTTGACAAGAAGAATGAGCACCCCCAGGGTCACTGGGCTGGGGTGACCCTGGATGGCGGGGAGTCATGGGGGGCCTCACACTGACTGCAGGCCGACCCATCAACCTCTGGGGGACCCGCCCAGCACACTATACTTCCTTGCCCTGCCCCATCCCTCTCCCAGGATTCATGAATCACACCCTCTCTCTGCACTTCCCCTAGAGCCAGGAGACGTCAGAGAACTTCAAGTCCAAGCCCCTCCCTGCTTCACAGCTGGGAAGCGCAAAGGTTGTCATAGCCATGGCGTTGACCGACTGTTCCTGGGCCAGGCCCTGGCCCAGCACACACTTACAGTCTCTTATTTCATGGAGTAGAGGGTTCCGGGCTCTGCAGCCAGACTGCCTGGGTGGTGGGAAGCCTACGCCTAGCTCTGCACTTAGTAGCTGTGTGGTCTTGGGACACTTACTTAACCTCTCTGTGTCAGTTTCCTCATCTGTGAAACGGGGATGATGTGAGCTCTCACCTCTTGTGGTGAGAATTAAATGAGCTGATCCACATTCATTAAAGCACCTGACACATCATAAATCGTAATTGTCAGCTGCTGCTGTTACTGTTACTACTACCCCGGGAAGGGGGCTTATATCTGGGTTAGATATTGTGCTACAAGCGTCGTGCTGCTTCTGTGAGAGGAAGGAAAGGAGAGAGATTTTTTTTCTAGGGGACTAGCAGATGAGGAAACGAAGGCCTAAGAAAGTAGGTCCTTCCGTGGCCACACAGCTGCTGGGTGGCCAGGCCGGATCACCCGCTAACCGTCAGGCATTTGAGCTCTCATTTATTGAGCATTTACTATGTGCTGCTGTGTGCTTCAGAGCACAGGCAGTGGAGCCAGACCTAACAGCTGTGTGGCCTGGCCCCCTGAGCCCTCTGCCCGGGATCAGGCCCACAGTGCTCTGGGGGGGCCCAGGTGTGTGTCCAGGTCAGGTTCGTTGTCTGCCTGGCTCTGCCCACTCTGGCCCGCAGCATACACCCCTGCAAAGGCCACTCAGCCTTAGTCACGTTCTTCAGGAGCCGTAAACTCCCAAAACGGGCGGGCGGGGGGGCTCTGCTCAGCCTCTGAAGTGCTTTCATCGGGGAGGGCAGGGCCACCCGGCAACTTTTCGAGCTTTAATGTTCCGGGGACAGCTCACTAAATCACCGCGCAGTAATGGAGGCCTGCCGTGTTAATAATTCAGGCCTTCCAGGAAGGGCCGCCTGGCTGGGCGGGGGAGGGCAGGGATGGGCATTTCCTCCCCCGCTGCTCTCAGAGTCCAAGTTTGCCTCGCGCATTTTGGCTTCAGGAATTTTAACGTGAGGAAGAACTAGGGCTGAGCACCGTCACTGACGCAGGGATGAACTCTTGCTGCCTGTGTTCTCGCAGCCAGGCTTGGGTTCACATCCCAGCAGGGGGACCCTGGGCCAGCTCCTTCGCCTCTCCAAGTCCCTGGCCCACTCCGGAGCCAGCCGCCTTGGTTCAGAGCCCAGCCCTACTGGGGGGGCTGACTTTGGGCAGTTACTCCGCTTCTCTGTGCCTCAGTTTCCTTGTCTGTGAAGTGGGCGTGGTACTAGCTTCTCCTTCCAAAAGGGCCCTGCGTGAGGACGATACGAGGTAACGTGTGTACAAGGCCTCACGTGCGACCTGTCGCCCCCCCCCCACAGGCTCCGCAGGCAGCAGCAGAACGCGCCCCTTTTCGGGAAGATCCGTGGTGCTCGCTTTGGCACTGAGGAGGCCGGGGACGGAGCCAGCGACCTGGACGAGGACGAGGACTTGCAGATCCAGGTGGCCTAGAGCCTCTCAGGGCTGGACGGGACGGGACCCCCCCGGGGTGCAGGCCGACCTGTCACTTGAACTGACGCAGCTGGCTAGGCTTGCTCTGGGACCAGACCCTGCTCCCTGCCACGGATGACTTCGTCTCTCGCGGGGAGGGCCTCAGCAGTCCCGCCCACCAGCGCCCTGAGGAAGGGACGCCTGCGTTCTGTCTGTACATATGTGTACGCCATATATATGCCCAGGGGCCTCGGACCCATGTGGTTTTATGAATATAGGACCACTCCAGAGCTCCGGCCAGGCAACTCCGCCCACCCAGGACTTCATGCAGGGGGGCATGTCGAGGGAGGATTGTTGGGGCCCAACCCAGGCTGCCTCTCTAGGCCTTGAAGGTCCGGCAGGGGCTGTTCATAATACAGTGTGACGAACCCAGTCTTTTGTAATAAATGGAGTTCAAGTTCTTGGGTCAGAGTCCTGAAAGCATGGCAGATGTGGGCAGGGGGTGTGGGGGACAGTGTCAGCCTGCACCTGATACTAAACCAGAGCTCAGGAATATTGAGTGACTTAATGAACGTCAGAAAGAACGAATGAATGAACATCTAGCTTCTGAGTGGTCTGGTGTCCAGCTCCTGTGACAAGGAAGGAGAAAGTACAGTGTGTGTCTAATCTGGAGAAGAGGAGACTTCAGTTCTGGCACCCGATGGATTCAAAATCTGCTCTGCCCCTTACTGGCTGTGCAGCCTCAGGGAAGTTGCTTGCCCTCTCTGAGCCTCAGCTTTCCATCTATAAGTTCAGATGTCTCACAGAGCTGTCATGAGAATTAAAGAAGTTGATCCAGAGCTCTGTAAAGGATAGTTATTATTAAAATACCTGAAGGTCTGCCCTGGAGAGGGGGCACCTGCTAGCTGGGCGCAGGGGAGGACGTTCAGGTGATTGATGGGTTTACCCAGAGGTATGTGTGGATACAATAAATAGCGAACCCTTTTATCTTTCCCCCAGCCCTGCTCCAGGTAGTAAAATTACAGGTTAATTTTACTTTTGATGTTTAATTTCTAAACCACGTATAAGCGGCAGATTTATGTTAAATTTGATGGAAACTGTTATTAGAAACAGAGTAGTGTATACTTTTGATCTTTGACAGTCAAAGTGGCATTCCGGGCACCTGCTCTTCTGATGAGGTGTTTTAGACGAAGTCTCAGCACCAGGGCCTGCTTTCTGCAGAAGGAAGCGTTGTCAGAATTGTTCCAGAATGCCTAAGGTGATGAGTTCCCTGTGTCCAGGGGTGTGCAAGGAAAGGCCAGAGCCTGGCAGCATAGAGGAGTTCAATTCAGTTGGTAAAGGGGCTAGGGGTGGGCAGCTGCACTAAATGACTTTCTTGGTGTGGCCTAGTCATGAGAGACCCCTCGGGCCACAGTGCCGGGTCCCAGGGCAGGCAGGCCCAGGAGCCCAGCTGGGAGCTGGGAAACACGGACTGGGAGTGTTCCAGCTGCCAAGCCTAAACTAACGGTGCTTGTGGGTGGGGTTTGCTGCCATGGCAAAGAGGCCCCAGGTCCCCTCCTGGGCTCCTCCCAAGGGGGAAGGAAGGAGCGAGGGAGACAGCCCTGGGGATCCCCTCCACGGCTCTTTCCCCGGCAGCCAGCGCCTGCAGAACAGGGCTTCGGGAAGACGGCCATTTCCTGCCAGGGGTCCTTCTGTTTTCTCTCCCAAACAGGAAGTCGGCCCCAGAAAAGTGCTGCCCTTTGACCCCCAGGAGCTAGGAGGCAGAAGCCAGGCCCTCACTGACACCAGCTCTAAGAGCCACCTCCAGCCGGACCTGCCATCCATCCGCAGACACAGAGCAGACCCCGTCTGGCCGGCTGGGCTCCCCCAGACTCGCTGGCACCTCCTGCGAGATAGCGCTGAGCAGGGGCCTCATTACGGCCCCTATCTCCCCGGCAGGCCGCTCCTGGGAATGCCAGTGGGGAGGGGGTCTGGCCTCCCGCTGCACACCGGAGAACCGAGGCCTCCTCCGGAGGGAGGAAGGGAGGGGGGTGGGACGCCCAGACACAGGGCTCGATGGTGCCCTGGGCCTGGGACGCGGGCTGCTTCCCTGCTCACAGCCCTTCCGGGCTTCCCTCTCCCTACAGCGGAAGTCACCCAGTGGTCGCGGCAGCGTCTGCCAGCAGCAGCATTAGGTCTGGCTCATTTAATGCATTGCTAAAATTAGTAATGGGAAGTTCCCCCATACATGTGTGGGTCTCCCTCTCTTGAGAAATCAGCACCTCTGCTCCCTGGGATGGGGCACAGACACCCCACGCACCGCAGTCTCCACCACTCCCTGCCGCCTCCCCCTGCACCCACCTCACTCATTCAAATGACTGTCCCGCCCCTGGAGGCACCTGAGGGTTTTGCCTCGGGCTTAGTCTGGTCAGTGGGCCCCAGTGTGAGATGTCGTCAGGCTGAGTGCACGTGTCGCTCACAGGCTCAGAACTCCCGCAGGCGCCACGTCACTACAGGGGTGACCGCCAAGAACTGTTGAAATGGAGTGAGCCCCACTGCGTGCTTCAGACACGTGCCGTCTCACTGGTGGGTCCCACCAGCCGGTGAGGCAGGTACCACCATCATCATCCCGCTCTATGCCAGGGCCCAGAGGCTCAGGGGGAGCAAGTTACTAGCCCTGCCCCTGCCCCTGCCCCTGCAGCCGACCCCCACCCCCCTCTGCATACCCTGCAGCTCTGGCCATGCCCACCCCATTCTGCCCCCCAGAATTGCCCTGGACCATCAGAGTCCCACGAGCCCCTCGGAGTTCAGCCCGCTGGGGCCATTTGCAGTGTGGGGGGGTGATCTTCTTTGCTTCTCCTGCCACAGCTGTTCCCGGAGGGCAATGAATCCTTCCAGTAGCCAGCACCGGCAACGTGCCCTGGGCCCAATGGGGAAGAGTGAAGGTTAAAAGGAAGGAAGGATGGAGAAAGGAGGGATGGATGGGATGGTGGAAGGCTGAAGCCAGAGCCCCACTCCACCCCCAGCCCCACTGCAGTAACTGCCAGGCCAGTCCTAGACGGTCTTTCTGGGTCTTTCTGCCGCTCAGCCAAGTCTTCCTCCTGCAGTGGAGCAGGGAAGTTTCCCCGGGCAGTCAGCTCAAGCACCCCAGGGGCGGCAGTGCCAGGGCCCCTCCTCACGGGCCTGGAGTGCCCAGACAGGCTGGAGAACCGGCTGGCCCAGACACTGCCCCGCCAGCCGCCCCGCCTCCCCGCAGCAGCACGAGGGCTGGGGGCCCTGCAGTCTGCTCTTGCTCTCCAGCCAGGGCAGGTCTGCCCACCCCGACTCCACCGGGCAGCCCCCAGGGTTCCCTGCCTTGAAAGCCCTGTTAAGGAGTGAACCGTCCACACTCCAGCATGCCAGAAAAACCTGGCTTCTGGCCCCCGCCTGCTTTCTGTTAGCTGTGTGTCTTCTGGTAAGCTCCTGCCCCTCTCTGGGCTTTAGTTTCCCTCCCCGTAAAATGGGGACAAGAACAATGGGCTGTCCCAACCCACATCCAGCCATGCAGCCTCGGTGATACTCTTCTCTTTCTGGCTCTGCATTCCCTCCTAAGACCCCTGCACCTTGTTTGCCTGGGGGCCCTCCAGCCACCCGAGGCGGCCCTCAGTGGGCAGCGGGTGGGAGCTGGGGGCAGAGGCAGCACCCAGGAACCAGCTGCAGTCTCAGCTGGCTGTCCCCCAGCCCCCACCACCCTGCCTATTTTATCTACTAATTGCAGGGTTGCAAGATGCCACCTGCCTCCCAGGCCCCAGGCGGGCGCCTCCCAATGGAGCTGGGGCTCCTGGGAACGCCTCCCAGTCCTCCTGCAGCCCCACAGCCCCGGCTGCACTGGGGGTGGTCTCCATGGTGCTCAGAGGCCCTCGCCAGCCCCGGGGAGGGGGCCTGAAAAGGTGGAAACAGGCTTCCCCTGCCTCAGAGAGAAGCAGCCTGGCCTCCCCTCCCCCACGCGCGTGGCTCTCCCCGTCCTGGCACGTGGGCGCCTTCTCCAAGCGGCCTCAGCTCCCTGTTGCTCTGGGATAAAGTCCAGACAGGCCCCTTCCTCCCTGGCTGGCTTCCCCAGCACTGCCTCTGCCCTTGCCCCGCGGCCTGAGCATCAGCAACCTGGTCACACCGCATGCCACACGCTGACTTCCAAAGGGACTCGGGGACATGCCTCAGCTGCCCACAGCTGGACCCCCAGCTCTGAGGGCAGGGGTCTGGCTTCAGGAACTGAGTCTCCCCAGGAAAGGAGGGAGGGTTTCACTCGGGCCTCACCCTCCTCCTTCTTTGTGCCATTTAATTTTAATCTTCACCCCCAGCGGTGGATAATGCACGATGAGAAGACTGAGGCCCAGAGAGGGAAGGGCCCAGCCGCTAAGGGACAGGACCAGGATTCGCATCCAGACAGCTCCAGCTCCCGCCCTCAGCGCAGGTCTGGGCCTGTTGAGAGCGGGTTCTGGGGAAATGCTCCTGGGAGGGAGGGGGCCTGAGCTAACGACGGGCCGGACGACTGTCACCAAGGCCTGGACTCTTCAGAGCACTCTGCAAAGCCATTTCTCACCAGGCCCCACCTGACCCTCTAACGCGGGAACATCTTAACCTGGATGAATAAGCTGGGGTCCCGACAGCAAAGTGGCTTATCCTGGGGCACCCAGCAACTGTCCCCTGGGAATCCCCAAGTGCTTTTTACTTGGGGTAGAATCCATCACTCCGTTGGCCCCTCCATTACGGTAACTTTGGAGAGAGAAGCCCAGCAAATGCGGATTCACCTACTCACCTAACTAGGCAAGGAGCTCCACCTCTCTGAGCCTCAGTGTCCACACATGTGACACGGCATGTGCCGTGGGGCTGTCCAGCCCCTAGCACAGGGTCTAGCACCCGGCAGTGTATCCTTCGTCCACCTTCGTCCAAGGGCACCCGTCGTGTCTACGTGGGAGGAAAAGCACACTCGTCCACACTGGGGCAGGATCCTTATTCTAGATCTGCCTCTGCCTGCATGGCCCTCCCCACTGAGCCCTCCCAGCCCTGGCCAGCTCCCTTGCCCCCAGTCCAATCTCAGAACCTCGCCCCATCACTGCCCGGCTGCCCAGGTATCTGCATCCCAGGCTGCAATGGGGCTGGGAGGTGGT